TGAGGCAGGAGCCCGGGGCTCTGTCCGTTTTGCTTCCTCCTTCTCCTCTTCTCCTCTCCCCTTCTTTCTTGCAACGATGCATGAACGCACATGTTTCCAGCTCCGTGCCCCGCATGGCGGCCGAACGCTGTTCGATCGGACCCTAACGTAACGTAACGTAACTAAGCTTACGGGGAGGAGAACTATCGGGCGGGCTGTTCAGTTCGCGGTACCGCTTGTGGGGACGATTGAGGTGCAGATACGCTGTAGAAAGGAAGTCTAAATTCGGTCGCTCAAATTTGGGTGCAGGAGCTTTCACGGGAACTGGAGATATCGTGCGGAAGCAGGCGGTGCGGTCCGAAAGGACGACGGGCAGGAAGGATACAAAAAGGTATCGCTTGTTCGGTGTTGTGGGACCTCTACAGGTTCTATGAAACGATCAAGCTGACCCGACTTCAACGTAGATGTGACGAGCTCGGCTCCCCCCGTCAGATCTCAAGACGGCGTATGGCTGCGCATCGAGGCGCTCGTTTTTTAGCATCAGTTATATAGTGAAGAACCCGTGCTTTTGCGCGGCAAGGCACGGTGGTAGGGGGGTCCTTCACAACGGCCTTCGTGAGGGTGTGTGCCATTCCAAGCACCGACCTCTTGCCTAAGCGTGTCTAGGACTGCAAGTCACTGGCACGGCTCCCACCGATGTGGAAAACATCGTTTCTGGGGCCACCCAACTTTCTTCGGCTCTGTCTGACGATATGCTGTCTCAAGTTTCTGGCAAATTGCCTCGAAGTTCGGCTATGATAAGGCTGTCGGGTCCAAGGTGAGCAAGCTTTTGGAACATGTCGATGGCGCCCCAGGAGTGGCGTCTGCTGTGAATTCAAGCATCGAAGATACTGCTGGTCGCCTTCGGATATGCGGTCGTCGAGGTCGGCGCCACCGTGCTCGACGGCGTAAGTGGAAAGCCAGGGCTTCGAGACTCAAGAAGCTGAAGGGCATCCTTGGACAAAGATATTGCAGAAAGGCGTTTACCTCGGGGCCTTTCTGGAGGCGGCTCACGATGCTGACGTCCATGGGGGGTCTGGGAACGAGCCGGCGGGCCTCAGACGAGGGCTCGGACGGGCCCTCAAGCCTTCTTCTGGCATGAGGTCCTTGACATCCTTTCTGAGATTTAAGCAGGACCCTACTGCGGCGGCCTCGGTGGCCCCCGTAGCTGGGCACTGCAAAGACACTTGGGCCAACAAATGCCGTATGTTCAGATCCCCGTTAGTTGTCAAGTTCCTTCGTGAAGCGTGGGAACAAGTTGCTCATGCTGACCCTGAGGAGCCGACCCTGACTTGGAGGTCCGCGCGTAGGCCTTTGGGAACCACGTAGATATCGCTGCGACGAATCAAGTGGGGGATGCGTTCGTCCCAAGAACCCACGAAGAATTTCAATGAAATGATCGGCCTCACCCCATTCCCGCTTGCACTTGTCAAACAGCTGAGGAAGGAAAATGTCATCAGACTGTTGCAGATAGAGACAGAGAGGAAAAACAAGAAAGAGAGAGAGAGAGAGAGTCACGTGAGGCTCTAGGTGTCGGCAAACGTCTACGCTCAACAGGGCTTAGTGCACCCAAAACACATCGAAATGATTTATCGTACAATTGAATATTTGGGTGAAAACTACATAAGCATGAACTTTCGGAGGTCCTCGCGGGGTTTTCGGATCGCCGCTGGGCCCTCCTCCCTGGCGCGCGGGGCGCGCCAGGGGCGGCGTCAGAGGCGGTCCGCCAGAGGGCCACGCGTCGATCCGAGCACTCCGCGCGGGCATCCGCGAAACTCCATATGTACGCAGCTGTTCGTCTGCCAGTGGAGCCCGGTATTTGCCTGTGGAGCCTACGAGTTCCTGGTAGCATCATGCACAGATGTTGGTTTTGCCGTGTGTGCCAAGGTACAAGGGGCGAGGTCGTGGATCCGTCGACCCAGGGGGGTGCCAGATCATGTGACATGACTGAGGTTCAGCTGTTCTTTAAGGGTACCTTTCCACGCCCAGGTGATTCGCGGCCAAGTCCGTGTTCGCCGGAAGGAAGCACGGTCAGCTGGAACAACGCACCAGAGAGGGAGGACACGGAAGTCGCAGGCGACATGTTCATTGACGGCGGTTGTGAAAGGCACCTTGTCAAAGATCTGCCTCGAGCAGGTTGGGTGACTGCCTGCTGGGGTTTTCTGGGGGTTGTTAAAAGTTCCTGGGGCCTCCTGCGGTTTCGGGGAGCCTCCTGAAGCCTCCTCGGGCCATCTGGGGCCTCCTGGGTTTCCTGGTGCCTCCCGTGGTTTCTTGGGGGTTCCTGGGGCGCCCCAGGGGTTCCTGCGGCCTCCTGGCGTTTCCTGGTGCCTCCTGCCTCCTAGGGCCTCCTCGGGCCTCCTGAGACCCCCTGGGGCTTCCAGGAGTTTTCTGGCGTTTCCTGGTGCCTTCTGGGGTTTCTCGGGGCGTTATGGTGGCTCGCGGTGCCTCCGGGTGCCTCTCAGCGTTTCCTTGGGCCTCTCGGGGCCTCCTTGGGGCCCCAGGCGTTCCCGGCATGCATCCTCCTTTTTCCCCCCCAAGGCAAACGCCCACTTATCCATCCTGTCTTGTTGTGTTTTTTATTGAAGTGGGTTCGGCGCCAAGGGAACACCGGACCACGACAAAAGAACGCCCCGAACAAGCTCGGAACAATGCGCGAGCCGACCTGAAAAGGCGAGCCCACGTTTGCAACCGTGGCTCGGGGAAATTGGCAGCGACGCGAAGCAAACGCCGCGGTGGACCAAACGGCCGAGAACACCAGCCGCGCGCATAGACACCGAGGAAGAATGACATCACAGATGCACGACGCCTCGACCAAGGAAGGCGAACGTCGCAACAAAATTTTTGCACGCGTTCACCAGGCCACTCCAGTCACGAAGGGGGGAGTGAGGACTGCGGGGAGGAGGGTGGAAGGAACGCAGCCAAACAGAAAAAGGGCGACCAAACGGGGCCTCGCGGCCAGGGGGGGAACAAGTAGAGGTGAGGAGAATGAATCGACAAGGAGACGGGGAACTGAAGGGGCACCAAGAAGATGAGAGGCAGAGAAGGAACGTTGAACAAAAATACGGATCGACAAGAGAAGGGGGGAAACAACTTTCTACAACTCAAGCGAATCTGCGGGCCTCGTTCGACCCCGCCCTCGTTTCCAGAACGTGGGTCGGCCCGGAAATTCCTCTCGCCGCGGCTCTCCGCCCGGAGCAATGCTGGACAGTAGGTCGAGCTTCACCACTCGCGCCCCAAGTGCGCCGCGATCCGCTCCTGCCGCGCACAACGCAAATTCGGAAAATTGTTTGTCCAAGAAGTTCCAGCGCGATAGCGCAATGCTGGGGGCGCCCGACTTCGATGCGACACTTCTGGCGCTGAGAAACCATCGCTTTTGATAACGCGGCATTGGCACGACATGTCGGTTTGGGACATTAGACCAGCTTCTTCCGCAAGCCTTTGGTCTGAAATGTCAAGAATAAAAATAAAGAGCCGCAAGTCTGACTCACTGCTCTTGGTCAGCGGCGACACTCTGAATAATGTGGCGGCGCTCGGCCACAAGCTCATCTCGTTCCAGTGCAGTGACGACTCTGCCCTCTTTGTGTGCGCCAAGTGCAAGACTGTCTCTTCTCTGGGGCCTCTAACAGTCCTGAGCAAGCAGCGTGTGCGACCCACCCGCAACAATCGGGAGAGGTGGAAGCATCTTGCGCGTAAGGGCAAGCACCCTAAGTTTGACAGCGTGTTCCTTGAAGCGGCCCCTGGAATTGACCCCGAGGAAACCTTTGGCGCGTCACAATGTCAGGCCTCTCCAGTGGCTTCGGGGTCCTCTTATGTTCAGGCCCCACCACTGGCATCGGCGGCCTCACTCGCGCAGGCCTTCCCTGTGCCTGCACAGGGTGGGAACAGCACAGCACCAACGGAAGGTGCCCCCACCATCACGAGGCACTGCACTTTCGGGAAGTGCCCCCATCAGCAAGGCCACTCGCGGAAGGCGAACATCACACCCTAGTTGGCCAGTAGCACTGAGAGAGAGAGAGAGAGAGAGAGAGAGTCGTCGTCGAGACTTCGTCGTCTGGTGCTCGCAAAGAAAATGCTGCTGGTCTAGCGAGTGGGGGATCCCTCCTTCGAGATGATAACGAAGCACCTTCTGCCCGTGCCCCATCGAGTGAGGTAATCGATGGAGGCGCCTCTGACTAAAACTTCAAATGTCTCCAGGCTGCGTCTGTGCGATACAGCGGACCTCTCGGTGTGCTCCGTCGCCAGCAGCGGTCTCCACTGCACCACCTCTGTTTCGCAGCTGCGGTGCTCTCGGGTGCTACCTGCTGTTCGCTGCCTCTGCTGAGTGGCATTAGATCCCCACGCTGCTGGATGCTTTGAGTTATGCTAGTCCTGTGCCAACTCACTCCCTGGTTGCGCAATGCCGCCGTCTGAATCTTCTTGTCCAAGTTTGGCAACCCACGCCTTGCCTGTATATCTGCCGCAGTCACCTGTTCCGCTGCAGACGAAGACTCCCTGGCGTGCACAACTTTCCAAGGCGCGGCCCCTGTCAAGAAAACTTCCTACGCCCCTCCTCCCTCCCCCTCCCTCCTCTCTCCCCTTTCCCCTCTCCCACCCTCGCAGCGGCGGGGCTCCCGAGTCCGGTGGGGGGGGGCCGCCGCCTTTGCGGACCGCGCCACGCCCGCCGCCGCGCCCGCTCGGCCGCGCCCGCCCTCGCGCCGCGCGCGCTGGCCGCTGCCCGCCGCCGCGCCGACGCCACTGCCGCCGCCACGCTAGCTGTCGCCGGGCGGCGCCGGCAGCTGCGCGCGCCAGGCCGGACAGCCGTCCAGCGCCCTGGCCACCGCCTTGCGCTGCACGCCGCAGCCGCCGCCCGCGACCCACACGCCGCCGCTGCTGGCGCCCTGCTGCAGCCCGCCCAGCGCCTGCGCCCCGGAACGGCCCAGCTACCCTGCGCCGCGGCAGCGCGGCGCCGCCCAACGCCCCGCAGGCTCCCTCTGCGGCCGCGGCCCGCGGCCTGGGCTGGCGACCGCCACAGCCAAGGCCGGGGCCCAGCGGCGCTCAAGAGCATCCAGGCTGCGCCCCGTGCCACCGCGACGACCAGGCGCTGACGTACATCAGCCAGCACGGCCGCGCGGTCCGCGCCTGGCGCGCGGGCGCGCAGGTAGCCCTGCAGCTCCGCGCGGGCGCGGAGCCTCGCCTTGGCCTCGGACACCGCGGCAGCGAGCTTCGGAGTGGCCTCTTCGGCCCTGGCCGGACTGGGCGGCGCCTGTCACACCCTCACGGTGGCCTGGACAGCGCCCTGCGAGCTCAGCCGTGCCGCGTCGGCGCGGCTTCCGGCAGACCCGAAGCCGGGCACCCCCCTGCTTGGCGGGCAGGCAGAGCACCTCCCGACCGCTTGCATGCAGGCCAGGCCCCACAAGGCGCTCGATCTGCGCGACGACCTCGTCGTGAAAGGATCGCCCTCGGCCGCGCGGTGCCAACCTGGCTCGCTGCAGGTGCATCACAGCGCCGTTGACGCAAGTGCGGGGCAGCGTGAAGCGGTGCTGCTCCTCCAGACCTGCCGCCTCCCAGGCCCTCCAGCGCGTCGCCTGAGGCCGCCAGCTGCGGGGCCGCGGCAGCCGGAGAGGTATGGTCGAGGATCTCCGCGTGGGTGTCCCGAAGCTCACTGTGCTGCCCAGGCCCAGGCACAGGAGGGCGTCGACGGCCCACGCCCAAGCGCCGTCTGGCAGCGAGGCGGCCCAGCCGTCGGGGCACCACACCGTGGTTTTGAGCAGCGACACTGAGATCTAGCCCAGCCTGGGAGAAGAGCGTTATGGCCATCGTCAGAGCCTCGCGCCTCGCGCAGCAGAGCCGTCGGCACAGTGAAATAGGCGTCGTCCAGGTAAGCCCACAGCTTGCAGCGCGGGTCCAGAGCTCGCAAGCAGTCTAGGAGAGCGCAGAGTTCCGAGCCGATGCTGTTGCTGACAAGCGGTGGGCTGAGCGGGCACCCTTCCCGCCTCCCTCCTCCCCTCCTCTCCCCTCCCTCCTTCGTTCGTCCCTCCCTCCGTCCTCCCTCCTCCCTCCATCCTCCCCCCTCCTTCCTCCCTCCCGCCTCCGTCCTCCCTCACTCTTCCCTCCCTCCCTTTTTCCTCCTCTCTCCCCCATTATCCCTTCATGCTGCTGCTCTCCATCAACTGCCTCTTGGCAAAGGGGCTGGTCGATTACCAAGGCAGCGCTCACAGCTGGCGATCAAGCAGAGTGGGGCATGGCGCCCGAGCCCCAGACTGAGCACGTGCAGAACGATATGATATCCGACTTCTCTCCCGCCTTCTCTCCTCCCTCCCTCCTCCCTCCTCCTTCCTGATCTCCCGGGGCCAGCTCCGCCGCAGCCAGGCGGGGGGGACAACCTCGAGGGCACCCTGCCGTGGGACGAGGAGTGGGACCAGGCGTCCCGCCGCCGCCACCCCGCCGGGCCGGGGCTGAGAGGGGGAGGGCCTTGCAGGAGTAAGGATGACCCCAGACGCGATTCGAGTTTCGACGTTCCTTCCCAGTTGTCTGCCCCCAGGCCTGATCACGGGCCCAGAGACCGAAAACTGGGAAGAGCGCACAGGTTGGAAAAAACCTGTCGCCCGAGATCTGAGGATGAGGGGCAGGAGTCGTTCGGCGCCTGGTGGTCTTCGGGACACAACTCGGGCCTCCACCGGCCGCTCAAGACGACCTGGGCACGCCCGGAACGCTCTGGACCAGGCGCAGCTGATGGAAACGTGCGAAAGACAAACGATACGTAAGATTAGACAACTCCTCCTGGGAGGAGGAGGAGGAGGAGGAGGAGGAGGAGGAGCAGGAGGAGGACGAGGACCAGCGTAAACCCAAGAGTCATCAACGATGTTGGAAGAAACCCTCCCTCAAAGCTCCCTCTTCACAGGCCACTACAACGGTTCATTTCCATTGAGGGAACTGCCTCGTTGGAAGGCAACCGTTTGAAGACCCTGGCGCATGCCAAAACATTGTTCTCGGGATTCCACACCACGGGCCAACCTGACTGTTGCTTTTTGACGATCCTTAATCATGCCAGAACGCCATTCGTGGGATTTCAACACCACGAGCGAACGTAACTGTTGCACCCTCATAATCCTGGATCCTTCCAAAACACCGTTTCTAGTGCTTTGATCATGGGATTCCGTGAAATTTTCACAAATGTGTTAAACGAATGTGCGCGGCGCTCTGGCGGGAACCACATTTTGAAAAGGAGCCGCCATCAATCCGTGAAAATCTTGCATATTTCGAAAACGAATGTGCGCGGCGCTTAGGCGAGAACCGCGAGAGCAACATTTTGAAAGCGGTTCTCCTCAATCCGTGAAACTCTTGCACATGTTCAAAACGAATGTGCGCGGCGTTAAAGCGAGAGCCACATTTTGAAAACCACCCGCCCTCCATCTATGAAAACGCTGTCAACTTTGAAGCTTCAGGGTCATAACTGGTTAAGTTGTCACAGGCGAAACGCCCGGCTCGTGCGACAGGGAGAAATCATTTAATATCACGAAAAGGAATGGAGGAGGAGGAGGAGGAAGGAGGGAGGAGGGAAGACGGAGGAGGGAGGAGGGTGGAGGGAGGAAGGAGGAGGGAGGAGGGAGGAAGGAGGAGGAAATGGAGGAAGAAATGGAGGAAATGGAGGAGATGGAGGAAATGGAGGAGGAGGAGGAGGAGGCGGAGGAGAGATGGCTGCGCCGGTTGACGGTCCCAAAGCCAATTGCGAGGAGGAGGGAAGAGCGTGAGGAGGAGGAGGAGGAGGCGGGATGGCTGCGCCGCTGAACGGTCCCGAAGCCAACAGCAACAGCAACAGAAGGATGAGGAGGCGAAGGAGGAGGACGAGGAGGAAGAGGAGGAGGAGGAGGAGGAGGAGGAGGAGGAGAGGGAGGGGAGGGATGGCTGCGCCGCTCGACAGTGCCCGAGCCAACAGCCACAGCAGCAGCAGCAGCAGCAGCAGCAGCAGCAGCAGGAGACCTTCCCCCCCCCGGCCCCGCCGGCGTGCGGCGGTCGACGCTCCGAGGGCCACTGGCGGGCGCCGAACCGCTCCCGCGGGCACTCCCTGCGCCGGCGGCGCCACGGCCACCTCGCGGAGGGGCCCCTTTCGGCCAGAGGGGGCGACGCGGACGAGGGCGAGAAGGCGAGAGGAGGGCGAGCAGGTGAGAGAACGAGATGGGTCTCTTCGGTCGGGGGGGCGCGGCCTGCTGCGGATCGGGCCTCGAGCGACAAGAAAAAGAGGCCACGTGCGCGATTCGCCCCCCCCCCCCCCCAGGGGCTCTTCGGGCTAGAGTGCCTACGGGGCAGCATCGAACGAGCATCGTCGACGATGGGACTGGAGGCAGAGCGAAAACTTGCAGTGTGCAGTGAGGGCGAGGAGGATGAGAGGGAGCAGGCGAGAGGAGGGAGGGAGGGCGAGGTCCCCAGATCCCCAGCGATACGACTTTTCCCGAACAGCGTCTCGCTAGAGGGCCACTGGCACAACAGGAGAAGACCACAAAAGAGCCCCACGAGGAGGACGGGGGGGAGCGCGAGATCGCACAACATGGCAGCGGCGCGGCAACCGTTTCGCTCGAGATTTCCGCACAAATTATTTTGAAGGGGCCCTGGGACACACAAATAAATACACACAAATAAAAATACCCCCTGTTTTCCCATATGTTCTGGGGTTCTGTCTTCCCCCCCACTTCCCACATGTTCTCATATGTTCTGGGGAATCGAGGATGAATTGTGTTTGTGTGTTTTTCCCCTCCTGATCAACGCTGGCAAAATATTCGGCCCCGACGGCCACGATCCCCTTGCAAGACAAGGCTACAGTGCACACGGCCGCGCTGCCCCCCCCCCCGTCACGAGCCGACCTCGTGCTCCTCGATCCACCTCTTCATCTTTGCTGCTATTAGGGCGTTTCGGTGGTGAGGTCATTTCAACATGGGGGTCTTCTCCGATTTGGGCCCACGGGGGCCCGTTACGGAGCCCCTAGGCGATCTGAAATGAGTCCGGGGCGAAAAACTGGCCCCGGGGAGCGTGTCTGGACGTCTGGGTCCGTACGAACGAACGAATAAAGAAGCCGCGCCGTGACGACACATCGGTTGCAATGCATGTGGTATGCGAAACGTGCATGCAGCTTCATAGTGGTTCGCCTGCCTGCTTAGCTCACGCGGGAAGGGGGGGGAAGAAGGGGGGCAACTGTAAGCAGGCAGGCCCCTATGAGAGAGAGCGGTAGCGCTGCCGGACAATGGCCTTCCAGTTCTGGACTGAGCCGCTACAATTCGTCAGCGCTGCTGCTAGCCAGTCCTCGTCCTGCTGCGCGGCGCCCAGCGCGTGCGCACTGACTCTCTGGCCCCACGACACCCTCGGGCGCCTTCGTTTTCGAACCCCTTCCGGCCGTACCAACATTGCGGATGAAGGTTGGAAAACTGAACGTCGCGCGATACAAGAATCGGGCACCATGGCCACCCGTCCAAACAAGCACATCGGTTTGTCGACTAACTGGTCTGCCAGCGGGCTCGACGACGCTGTGTTCAGAACCTCCTGGTTGGACACCCGGGATATAATCGGATGCGGGATGCCCCATACTATCCGCAAACAATACACGTGGAACGAATTGATGCAAGAAAACTCAGCCTTGTTCAATTGTTCCGTATCCGAACTGAAGAACAGTTTGGCTACGACACATGTTTCGTATATGCGTTGTTTCCTTGCCCCGCTCAACGACGAATGGTTCCAGACCTTCTAAGGAGCGTAAAGGAGTTGCGCGCCTCCCCCAGCCTGTGTGCCACGGCGCACCTGGCACTGCCGCCTTTGGTGAACAGACCGCCGAGATAGATGTTGCTGCTCTGCCTTCGGGAAAGGCTGGCCGTTCGGATCGTACAGGGGCAGCAGATTTCCAACCTGCAACACTACAGTCTACCCCCAGTTCGGCAGCAACCCATACGGAGCGGCACGCGACAGCAGGCTGTCGAGGGCGCCCTGCAAACAATCGGACGACCGGCAGATCAACGCTGTATCGTCCGCGTACTCGACGTCGTCTGTCCGGTTGCCCGCGTGCTCCCAGTTCACGTCCACAATGATGACAGGAAGAACAATAATGAACAGATATGGTGAGAGTGGACAGCCCTGGGCTATTCTAGCAAAGCTGTCTCGGACACCAGATTACTTTCCCGAGCCGCGCGCAATGCATGTTCTTTGCTGTTAGATGGATGCGACGACCATGTCGACGTACTCTTCGGGCAAGCCAAACGTGCGCAGTGCATCGAGAAAATCACATCGCCGGAAGCATGGGAGGATGAAAGCGAGCAGGCGGGAAGAGGGAGGGAGGGCGAGGACGGTCGGTCGGACGCAGGCTGGTGACGCTGTCGATATCACTCGTCACTGTGCGTGCTGACTGTGAAAGTAAAGTGCCCACACGCGACTCAGCGAACCTCTGGCCACAGGATGGCCGAGAGATTCCGCGGGCAATTCGGCGGTGTCGCCGCGTTTTCGCCTCCGCTCTGCTTGGGCAGATGCGTTCGAGCCGTGCAGGCAAGAGCGCGAGAGGAGGGGGAGGAGGAAGAACAGGAGGAGGACGAGGAGGAGGAAGAGGAGGAGGACCAGTGCAAACCTAAGACTCAACAACGATGTTGAAATACATTCTCCCTCAAAGATCCCTAGGCCCCTGTTAGAGGCCATTGCCACTAAGGGAATTGCTACATTGGGGGACAACGGTGTACACAGTTTGAAACGTGCCCAACAAAAACATGTTCGGGACGTTAACGCCACGAATTAGTTTGACTGTCACGTCTTGGCGTTCATGGGGCTGCAACACTGCGAATCAACGTAACTGTTGCGCCCTGACAGCCCTGAACCAGATCAAACACCATTTCTGGAACACGAACCATGAGAAGCAATGGAACACTTCGAACGTTGGTACGTGGCGCTAAAGCGGGAACCACATTTTGAAAACACCCGCCCTCAATCCGTGAAACTATTGCACACGTTGAAAACGAATGTGCACGGCTCTAAAGCGAGAGCCACGTGTTGAAGAAGAACCGCCCTCAAGACGTGAAACTCTGCAATGTGTCACGCCGAATGTGCGTGGCGTTAAAACGACAGCCACACTTTGAAAACCACCCGCCCTCAACCCGTGAAAATCTTGCAAGTTTGCACGACGAATGCGCGCGGCGCTAGGGAGAGAGCTGGACGTTGAAGGCCACCTGCCCTCAATCCGAGAAACGCCTGTAATATTTTACAACGAATGCGCGCGGCGCTAAAGCGAGAACCACATTTTGAAAACGACCACCATCAATCCGTGAAACCCTGGCAAGCATTGAGAACGAACGTGCGGGGCGCTAACGCGAGAGCCGCACCCTGAAAATCACCCGCCGTCAATCCGTAAAACTCTTGCCATTCTTTGGCACAACCAAAAAAACGAATGCGCGCGGCGCTAAAGCGAGAGCCACATGTTGAAAATGGCCACCGTTTCTAAGCATCAGGGCCATCAGCGGTGAGTAAATCTCAAGCGCGACGCCCGGCCCGCCCTGTCGACTGGCCTCGGGGTGCGACAGGGAGGAGTCATCTATAAGGAAACGATCGGAGGAGAGGGGCGCCGCTAAAGTCCGCCTCGCGCACAAGAGGAGGGGCGAGGAGGAGGAGGAGGAGGAGGAGGGGGAGTTGGAGGGGCAAGGAGGAGCGGGAGGAGGGGGAGGAGAAGGAGGAGGAGGAGGAGGAGGAGGAGGAGGGGCGAGGAGGAGGATGGGCGAGAACGAAAAGGATGGAGAGAAGGAGGAGGAGGAGGAGAAGGAGGAAGAAAAGGAGGAGGAGGAGGAGGAGACGGAGGAAGAGAATGGAGGAGGAGGATTCTGCCACGAGGATTCTGCTTTCCTGATCAGCCCAACAATTAGCACGAGTGTAGGGCCGACGCGGCTGAGAACACAACCGGCGCGCGTCGCCCCCCCGCGGCGGCGGCGTTGGCGCCCGCGCTCCGACGCGGCACACTGGCCGCCGCCGCAGAGGCCACCAGCCCCAGCCCCTGAGCCGGGCGGCGAGCGGAGGATGGGGCCTGGGGGCCCCAAGCTGGGGGGGAACCCAGCAAGGGGGGAGCCCAGGCCGCCAACCTCCGATCGCCCCACCTGGGGGGGACCCACCCCAAGCCCCAAAATGGAGCCACACCTCCGCCGGTCGATGGGTCGGTCGCCCGCCAGTTCTCGAGTTGGTCGCCCAGGACCTTCGTCCGGTGGCCCCCACCGGTTTTGCTATCCCGACCTCCAGCCGGCAGTCGACCACTTTGGGTTCCCCGACCGCCCCCGTGCTCACCAGGCCCCCGGCTTATGCGGGGGGGGGCAGGAGGAGGAGGAGGAGGAGGAGGAGGAGAAGGAGGAGACGGAGGAGGAGGAGGAGGAGGAGGAGGAGGAGGAGGAGGAGATGGAGGAAGAGGAGGAGGGAGGAAGAGGAGGAGATAGGAGGACGGGACGGAGGAGGGGGAGGATGAGGAGGAGGACAAGGAGGAGGAGGAGGAGGAGGAGGAGAAGGAGGATGAGGAGGAGAAAAAGGATGCTGATGTCGATGATGATGATAATGATGAGGCTGATGATAATGATGGTGGTGATGGTGATGAAAATGCTGATGGTGGTGACAATAATTACAATGCTAATCCGCATAATGTTCAGAATAAAAGTAATACTAATATTAATAATAATAATAGTAGTAGTAGTAGTAGTAGTAGTAGTAGTAGTAATAGTAGTAGTAGTAGTAGTAGTAGTAGTAGTAGTAGTAGTAGTAGTAGTCGTAGGAGTAGTAGTAGTAGTAGTAGTAGTAGTAGTAGTAGTAGTAGTAGTAGTAGTAGTAGTTGGTATTAGTAGTAGTAGTAGCAGTAGTACAGGAAGTAGTAGAAGTAGTAGTAGTAGTAGTAGTATTAGTAGTAGTAGTAAGTAGTAAGTAGTAAATAGTAAGTAGTAAGTAGTGCGTAGTAAGTAGTAGTAGTAGTAAGTAGTAGTAAGTAGTAGTAGTAGTAGTAGTAGTAGTAGTAGTAGTAGTAGTAGTAGTAGTAGTAGTAGTAGTAGTAGTAGTAGTAGTAGTAGTAGTAGTAGTAGTAGTAGTAGTAGTAGTAGTAGTAGTAATAGTAGTAGTAGTAGTAGAAGAAGTAGTAGTAGTAGTAGTAGTAGAAATAGTAGTAGTAGTCGTAGTAGTAGTTCGTAGTAGTAGTAGTAGTAGCAGGAGGAGGAGTAGTAGGAGTAGGAGTAGGAGTAGTAGTAGTAGTAGTAGTAGTAGTAGTAGTAGTAGTAGTAGTAGTAGTAGTAGTAGTAGTAGTAGTAGTAGTAGTAGTAGTAGTAGTAGTAGTAGTAGCAGTAGCACCAGTAGTAGTAGTAGTAGTAGCAGCAGCAGTAGTAGTAGTAGTGGTAGTAGTAGTAGTCGTCGTAATAGTAGTAGTAGTACGAGTAGTAGCAGTAGTAGTAGAAGTAGTAGTAGCAGTAGTAGTAGTAGTAGTAATAGTAGTAGCCATCGTCGTAGTAGTCGTAGTAGTCGTAGTAGTCGTAGAAGTTTGAGTAGTAGTAGTAGTAGTAGTAGTAGTAACACTAATACGAATACTAATAATAACACGAATACGAATATTAATATTAATATTAATACTAGTACGAATACTAATACTAATTCGAATACGACTGCTAAGAATAATGATAATTGTACTTCCAATAATATTGATCCTGGTAATAATGATAATAATACGAAGAAGAATGTTACTAATGATAATAATTCAAATGATAATGGTAATGATGATGATGATGATGATGATGATGATGATGATGATGATGATGATGATGATGATGATGATGGTAGGGATGATGGTGATACTGATGATGATGATAATAATGATGATGATGATGATGACAATGAGTGTGATGAAGATTATGATGATGCTAATGATGATGACGATGAGGAGGAGGAACAGGAGGAACAGGAGGAGGAAAGGAGGAGCAAGAGGAGGAGCAAGAGGAGGAGCAAGAGGAGGAGCAAGAGGAGGAGGAGGAGGAGGAAAAGAAGGCAAAGGAGGAGGAGGAGGAAGAGGAGGCGGAAAAGGGTAAGGAGGAGGAGGAACAGGAGGATCAAGAGGATAGGCAAGGGCCGAGAAGAGATAAGCGAGGAGCCCATTCGAGCTGCACGGCCTCGCTCGTGGCTCCCCGAGTGTTGGGCTGCAGTGCATCGCCGGGGCGGGCAACGAAACCAGCAGCAAAAGTCGGACGACCCGTGGGAGAGGGGAGGGTGCTGAGGGCAGAGGCGCATCCACGGCGGCAAAAGGCGAGCAGCGAGGGGGGAGGAGCTGCGGCGCGTTGCTGCGTCGGGCCTGTTGGTCTGAGACGCGGGTGCTCGAAGATGTGGCGTTCGTTGCGTTGCCTGTCCCACTCGTGGACGAGCTGCTGGTGCTGCTAGTTCCCGTCGCCGATCTGGTCGGGGCCTGGTCCGGCGAGCTGGTCGTCATCAGAGTCGGCGTGCCAGTCGGGGCGGGGGTCGGCAAGCACGTCGTACGGCGTCGTTGGCGGGGGTCGGAGGCGGGGCAGCGAGAGGAAAGAAAGAGCGCCAAAAGAGCAGACAGGAGAAGGAGAGGTGCAGCAGGTGAGATGGGACAGAGACAAACGAGAGTGCCAGGCCGCCCCTAATTCGTAAAGAAGACTCGAGTCACTAGCGGATGCATGTTGACGGAGCAAGTTAATTTCGCTTGGCCGGACTTTGTCCTAGACCCTAGACTCGTTGGCAGCAGCTTCGAAGCGAACTGTATGAACTGCTACTGCAATATGAACTGAATGATCGTTGGCACATCAGGCTGGGGCGATTACTCGAGAAGAGCCAGAGCAAGGGCAGAAAAGGTTGCAAGAAGAAAGAACGGAAATGGACTGGCCTGCGACATGACGTTTATCCATGATCCGGCCGATTTTGCCTGATCTTAAACAGAAACGCCAGCGGGCGCAGCTCTGGGCCAGCCTGCCTGGGGAGCCGGGGGATGGGGCCGGCGCGAGGAGCTCGCGCAGCTCCGCCGAAGCGAAAACGCTGTTCGGGCCCGCCTCGACGGCCCCGTCCTGGCTCAGGTCCCTCAGGGCGTGGCGGACGGCGCACTCGGTGTCGTCGGCGCCGCCAGAGACGCAGTGGGGCCCGGCCAGCGCCCAGCGCTGGTAGGCGGGCTGCAGAAACTCTGCCTCGGGCGGCGGAGGCGGCGGCACGTCGATCACCTCCCGCGCGAGCCGGGCCGCGTGCGCGAACGCGTCCCTGGCGTTCGCCTCCAGATGGCACGCAGGCCATCGCCGCAGATCAGGTCGCTGAGCTTGCTGTCGATGGTCGCCCGGATGCTGCTCTGGACGCCGGGAATGTAGGTCAGGACCGTGCTGAACCGCGAAGCGCCCGATGTGTTCATGTGCAGGCCGAGGTGCACCTCGCAATTGTCGCGCCGAATGGCGTCCAGGACCCACGACTCCGAGGCGTCGGAGGCCGCCAGGTCCGCGTCGAGCGCCATAGAGGCGTCGCCGAGAGAAACGATGACCGGGACGTCGCCCCCGATGCTGCGCCAGTTGTGGTGCAGGTCCAGGTCGCAGCAAACCTCGACCTTCTTGAGCCTGCCGTGCAGGATCCGCGAGGGCCCCTCGGAGTAGACGGAGGACAGCTGGCCGCCGTCGACGCGCCTCGACCCGCAGCCGTCCGCTGGGCACGCGCCCTATAGTGGCTCTGGCGGAGGGTCCCGACGCGGCCGCCGCTGCAGCGGTCCAGCGCCAGCGCGTCCGCAGTGCAGTTCCAGGGGGGGGCACGTCGATCACCGCATGGCTCAGCCACTTGTGCACGTCCCCGCCCCGCACCTCGCGCTGCCCCGCGCCAGCCGCGGCGGCCCGCGCGCCACGCGCGTCGACGCCGAGGGCGCCGGCGCCAGCGCCCTCGTCGCCGGCCGCGGCCAGGCCTGGCGCCAGCGCCACGAGCGGGGCAGGGGGCGGTCGACCGGGTCCTCCTCCTCCCTCCCTCCCTCCCCCCTCCTCCCTCCTCCCCCCTCTACCTCCTCCCTCCTCCCTCCTCGCTGTCAGTCCTCCCTGCTCCCCCCTGCTCCTCCCGGCTCCTCCTCCTTCCTCCACTGAAGGGGCCCCAGGACACACAAATAAATACACACAAATAAAAAGATTCCCCATATGTTCCCATATTTTGCGGTTTTTGTCTTCCCCCCCACGTCCCATATTTTCCATTTTGGGAGGGGGAATCGACGATTAATTGTGTCTGTGTGTTTTCTTCTCTCCTGATCCTCCCTCATCCTCCATCCTCCTCGTCCTTCTCCGGCGGGTGAGCGCCCCTCCCCCCCAAGCGGCAGGAGAGAGGCCGAGGGCGTCCCACGCTCTGCAGCCGGCGCGGCAGCAGGAGGGCGGCGAGGGCGACGGGCGCGCGGAGCGCCATGGATGTCCTCGCCGGACGGAGAGGGGGAAGGGAGAGAGAGGAGGAGCAGGAGGAGGAGGAGGAGGAGGAGGAGGAAAAGGAAAAGGAGGAGGAGGAGGAGGAAAAGGAGGAGGAGGAGGAGGAGGAGGAGGAGAAGCAGGAGCAGGAGGAGGAGCAAGAGCAGGAGCAGGAGCAGGAGCAGGAGCAGGAGGAGGGAACTCGAAACGCGGAACTCGGAGGTCCGCGGGAAGATGCCAGAGGGCATCGGTGCCGGGGGTGTGCACTACGCTGAAGACGCATTGCAGACCAAAGACGCCCGCGTTAACTGGGCTGTGTGCGAGGAAAACACATAACAAATGACAGCCAACACTGGATAGCTGGAAATCCGAGGCTGCCGTCGAAGTCCCTGCCACTACACCCCACCAATACTTGACCATCCCCCTCCCCAAGAAAGGCGGAGCGCGCCTGGCGAGGTAGGAGCAGGGCGCTTAGATGTACAAGTGTCCGAACACGCGGGCAAAAGCTAGACGAGACTCCTCCTCCTCCTCCTTCTCCTCCTCCTTCACCTCCACCTTCTCCTCCTCCTTCCTCCTTCTCCTGCTCCTCCTCCTCTCCTCCTCCTCCCTCCTCCTCCCTCCTCCTCCCTCCTCCTCCTCCCTATCCTCCTTCTCCTCCTCCTCCTCCTCCTCCTCCTCCTCCTCCTCCTGCTCCTCTCCTCCCTCCTCTTCCTCCTCCCTCCCTCCTCCTCCCTCCTCCTCCTCCTCCTCCTCCTCCTCCTCCTCCTCCTCCTCCTCCTCCTCCTCGTCCTCCTCGTCTTCTGCAGCAGCAGCAGCCTCGTCGCCCTCCGCCCCTTTTCCCCGCACCCCCCCCGAGCCAGAGCCGGCGGACGAAAACGGGGCGCGAGGATCGGCGCGCGGGCGGCCGGCTTGGCGGGATCAGTCGGCATCGACCTGGGAAACTGGATTGGATCGGAACTCGGTGCATCAAAGACGGGGTCCCGAGGGATGGTTGGGCGCCCGAATTATCCGGGGTAACTCGGGTCCAGGGTAACTCGGGTTTGGATTCCCGGAAAAGGAACCCGAGTTAGCCCTGACCCGAGTTATCCCTGATGATTCGGGGCTCTGGGCGCCCGAGCTATCCGGGGTAACTCGGGTCCGGGGTAACTCGGGTTTGGATTCCCGAAAAACGAACCCGAGTTATCCCTGACCCGAGTTACTCCTGACGATTCGGGGCTCTGAGATGGGGTCATAAGGACGAGGTGCCTCAAACAATATATAAATCCGCCCCTGGATCCATCCCTCTCCGTAGGACCCCGTGCCTCGGGACCACGTCTTTGCACCACCGAAGAACGTGCGTAGGATCGGGCCGCACCGGCACGGAGTCGGAATCGGATCGGGTCGGGCGCGCCACGATGCGTGACAACGCCGCGCAGGAATCGGGTAGAAGACCAGAAGAAGAAACACCTGCATGAAAATTAACAGTCAGGGGTCCGTGCGGATTTCTCGGATCTGCGCCTCTGGCGCCCCCCCCCCCCGGCGCGCTCCGCGCTACAGGGAGATCCCTGTGCCGATCCTAGAGACCCGCTCGGACATCCAAACTTGCATGTATACCAATGGTTCTTTTGAAGGACGCATGAGCGAGGGAGGATGTGATGGAGCAGCAGCATCATCAGGTGGAGGCACGGGGAGCGCATAGACTTGGCCAGAGGAGGAAGAGGAGGAGGAGGAGGAGGAGGAGGAAAAGGAAAAGGAGGAGGAGGAGGAGTAGGAGGAGAAGGACGACGACGACGACGACGACGACGACGACGACGACGACGACGACGACGGCGACGACGACGACGACGACAACGACGATCATGACAAGGGCGAGGGCGAGGGCGAGAGCAAGGACAAGAAGGGGGCGGAACACCACAACCGAGGAGGGAGAGAAAGCGCTAGAGCGAAGTGGAGAAAGGGGGAGAGGGGGAGAGGAGGAAGGGAACTGGGAGGGCTAGAAGCGGAGGCGGCGGAGGGAGGGGCAGGCGCGGGCGCAGAGAGCAGCAGGGAGTGGGAGGGAAAGAGAGAGGCAGCAAACGGGTCGGATCTGCCACCGCGCCTCTGGGCACGGAGTGGGCCTGTCCTCAGGTCCTTTGGCCAATCCCCTGGGCCTGAGCCCTAAATCCTGAGGAGTTTCTTGGGGCCCCGGAGCCCAAATTCACGAATCTCCTGGGGCTTTGCGCGGCTCCCCTGGGCCTTGGCGCACCTTATCGCGTGATCTTCCGGACCCCAGGGCGCCCCGAGACGGGCCAGGCGAGCCCCAAGGGGCCCTCAAGACGGCCCAAGGCGGCCTCGAGTCGCCGAATGATCGCTCCAAGACGCTCAAGATGGCCCCCAGACGGCCCAAGAGGCCTCCAAGACGCCCAAAGTGGCCTCCAAGAGGCCTCCCAAGAGTGCCCCAAGAGGCCAAAATCAATGAATTTCCGTAAGTTGTTAACGGATTTTGGCATTCTCGCCTTTTCGGCTTCCCGACGCTCCCAGATGGCACTAAAGGCCCCCAAGACCGCCCCAAGAGGACTCCAACAGAGCCCCAAAACGGCCCAAGTGTGCCCCAAGAAAGCCAAAGAGGCGCCCAGAACCGCCCAAGAGGGCCCCAAGACGGCCCCAAAAGGAGCCCACAAGAGGGAACACGAACCGAAAATCCGAGCCCCCCGCCCCAAGAGGCCCCCAGGAGGCCCCAAGAGGCGCCCAGGAGGCCCCAAGAAGCCACCAAGAGGCCCCCAAGAGGCCCCAAGAGGCTCCCAAGAGGCACAAAAGAGGCCCCAAGAGGCCCCCGAATGGCCCCTTACAGACGTCCAAACGGCCTCCGAGAGGCCCCCGAAAAGCCTCCCACGAGATCCCAACGAAAATCCAATAGGCTTCATCCCCACAGCCCAGGCACGCCATCTGCGAGACTAGCCGCGCGACACGAACGCTCGCTCCATGCGCACTCTCGAAACCCACGTGGATCCGTGTACGTCTACGTCCTCCCTTCGCTCCTGAACGAGGAGGGCCCTGCAGGTCGCACCCACTGCCACCGACCCTCCTCGATCCTCGATCCTCCTCGATCCTCGATCTCCCTCGATGCTCGATCCCGTCCTGAGGTCCGCCGTAGCGCGAAAAAAACAGCATCATGAAGAATCACAGCCGGAGCCCTGGTGCGCCATGTTGCGAGCCGGATCTGTGAGCGTCTCCCGGGGCCCGCGACAGGGCGAAGACGCCCAGCTCTAACAAAACAAATTGAGACGCCAGGATCCCATGAGGGGGCCCCAGGACACACAAATAAATGCACACAAATAAAAGGATTCCCCATATTTCCCATATTTTCTGGGTTTTTGTCTTCCCCCCCACTTCCTATATTTTCCCATATTTTCTAGGGAATCGACGATCAATTGTGTCTGTGTGTTTTTGTTTCCCGCCTGATTCATGTCGCACCCACTCCCGCAAGCGCTGGCAGGAGGGCGGCGGTCCGAGTACGAGGGGGGTTCGATACCGCCGGCGCGGCCGAGGCGTGCCGAGGCGCGGGGTCGTCGCCTGCGAGGAATGAGCCACTGAGTGCTCGCGGCATGGAGTCGCAGGGCGAGGGGAGGGGGAAGCAGAGGGAGAGAGGGGGAGGTCAGGAGGCAGCTCCTGGGAGGTCTTCGCAAGAACGGTGAAAGTCGATCAAGCCCGATGAAGGGCTCATGGGTCTATGAAGGCGGATCAGGCTGGATGGGGCCCAAGAGCAAGTCGGACCAAGCCAGATTAAGCCGGGCTCGTCGGGATCAAGCCGAGCTTAAACGCATTAGGGTCGTTTCCTACCACGGGTATACCAGCGCCGATGCTGAACTTAACCTGCCAGGACATGCATCCTAAAGATGAGGGGGCGAGGGGGACAGGGGCAGGCTGGGGAGGCAAGGACCCAGACATGCTCGCGTCGCGGAGAAAGGCTGCTTTCCTCCACGACGCGAGCATGTCTGGGCCCTGCAAGCCTGACGGGCGTGCTCGGCCTCCGGGAGCCCTCGCCGGGCCCAAGCCCCAGGCCCCAGGGCGCGACAGGAGGGGAGGCAGGAGGGAGGCAGAGGGGGAGGGAGGCGGGCCCCGGATCTCCGACGAGCTGCTTGTCTGAGCCTGGGCGAGGCTCCTCGAGGTCCATCCCCCGGGGGCCCGCTCTCGGGCCCCCGGGCCATCAGAGACGGATGCAGGGGCGAAGAGCTGGCCCCCAGGGATGCGGTCGCGGCCGCGGATTGGCAAAGAGTTCGACCGGCGGAAGGAAAGGGGCGGCAGGTTCAGGGATCGGCGGAGGGGATCGGAGGTTGGGGGGTGAGATCGCAGGGGAACGGAGAGCCCCAGAACCAGGAGATCGGTTTCGGTGTCGTGTTCGTGTCGTGCGTGCGGGCGAGGCGAAGGTGCGTGGGCGCGCGAGAGGACTGACCCCGCCGTCGCTAGGGCGACTCGGATGCAGTGGACCGCCCTTCCGCCCCCAGTGGGCGCGCGGTGGTCCGGGGTGTCCCCCCGTGGTGTCCTGTGGTGTCCCATTGGTGTCCCGTTGGTGTCAGGTGGGTGTTCCGTCGGCGGTGGGCGGGCGGTGGCTGGGGCTGTCCCGCCTTGGCACTGATGGTAAAGTCGATAGTATGGTCGATCATGAGATCGCTAGAATGGCATGGATAGTGCGATTCAAAGTGAGATCGACAGTGAGTTTGACTGTGACATGGGTTTTGAGATCGATGGTGAGATCGATGGAGGAATCGGTAGTGAGATCGCTAGCGGGATCGATAGTGGGATCGATTGCTGAATCCATTGGTATTAAGACTGACCGCGAGGTCGATAGTAAGATTGATCGAGTGAGATCGAAAGCAGGGACGATAGTGGCATTACATCGCAGCGCAACATCGTCATCACGCGTCGTCGCTAACTCGACGGCGCGTCACCAACATCGTCATCATCACACCCATCGCATTTGACAGCAGTTGGTTCTTTCCCCCCACCCCCCAACCTCCTCATCACCCGAAGGGTGGTCGTATAGGTAGGGGGCGATCAGTGGATGCCAAGGTGGGTTATATCTGGCCTGACCCAGCTTATACGTGGGCTTCAAAAGCCCAAGTGGCTTCGGGCGGGTAGATGACTCCGCTGGCCTGGACCCGTGACCCCCAGAAGCCGCTTGGGGCATGTGAAAACCGCTTAGACGCTGGGCTGGGCCAGACATGACCCCCCCCGGCATCCACTGGTCCTCCCCGTGTCCGCTGAGCAGCCCCCGCGCCGATCCCAGTCGGGGGGGGGGGGCAGGGGGGAGGGCGGGTGGGAGAGGGGAAGCGCAAGGCGGCGGCAGGGGGATCGAGGCGAGAGGGGAGGGCAGGGGGGGATCGAGGCGAGAGGGTGGGAGAGGGGGGATCGAGGCGAGAGGGGAGGGCAGGGGGGGGGGGCAGGGAGAGCGGGCGAAGGGGGCCGGCGCAAGGCGGGCGGCGGGAAGCCGGCGGGAAGCCGGCGGGAGCGGCGGAGAGCGCGCGCGCGCGCGAGTGCCGAGGCCGCAGGCGGAGGGTGGCGCTCCGAGGGCCGGGCCCCGCGCGGCCGCCCGGGGGCCCCTGGAGCGGCCGCCGGCCGCGCGGGGGCAGAGGCGGGAGGAGGGCGGAGGAGGGGAAGACAGCGGGGGTCCTGGAACGGGCTGCGGCCACCCGTCTGGACAGGACCAATCGATTCCAGAGGTGAAGATAATCATGGATTCCACTATTTCTCTATGAATGGTGGTCCCTAAAACTCAGAATGCTTAAATCTAGAGTTTACGCATTGTAAAATAACTACGTGGTGTCTTCACTGATCTCTACTGTTCCAGTTCGAGTTATCCCGCGAGGGAGGGGCAGCGGAGGGAGCCGAGGGAGCCACCAGCCACGTCGCCATCCACCACCCCTGGGCTCCTCGAGGTGGGTGAGCACCCTCCTCCTCTCCCTTGGACGTAACGCCACAGACCCCAGACGCGCGCGCGCGCCGCAACTGAGAAAAGCCGGAGCGACTGGGCCAACCTGCAACAGACGAGCCCGCGCGCAGAACATTGGATCGGAGAAGAAGGCACAGACGGCGATACACGTGCTGAATCAGCTTAAGAACCCATCCTTGCCCTGCACATGCAAATGTTGACCGCTCTGCCTCGGCGTCTCGGCCGACCGATGGAGGAGCATGATCCGCCGTCCTCCACGAGGACTCCTCCACCATCATCGTCGGGCGGGCCCACCCGCTGAGCCGTCCTCAGCGCGAAGGTCTCGCCACTCGCATTCGGAACTGCCTTGCTTGCGGGAGGGATCGCAAGGCCGCCGGCCATGACAAACAAGAGCTGCGAGGTGCTCGTAGGGGGGCACATGCGAACCCTACCCCACCCTCCCCCTCAGAAATCGTGGGGTGTAGCTGGCCTCCTCCTCCTCCTCCTCCTCCTCCTCCTCCTCCTCCCCCTCCTCCTCCTCCTCCCCCTCCCCCTCCCCCTCCTCCCCCTCCTCCCCCTCCTCCCCCTCCTCCCCCTCCACCCTCGGAGTCCAGCGCCTTTTGGTGGCAGGCGCGCCCAGGCGGCCCCCAGGCGCCTCCCGGCAGCGCGGCGCCCTCTCGCAGCCCCGCGCGTGCGCTCCGTGGCCCCAGCGCCGTCCCGCGCGGCCCCGCGCCCTCTCGTGGCCTGGCGCCTTCTCGTGGCCCGGCGCCCCTCGCCGGGCAGCGACGCGGGCTCGACAGGGCCTCCGCCGATGCCGCCGCCGCCGCGGGAGGCCGCAGGGACGCGTGCCCGTAGCTTGCACAGCTTGGCTCGACGCCAGGGCCGCGGCCCTGAAGCCAGGCCAAGCCTCCCTCGAGGCATGCGGCGTGGGGGAGGCATCCTGCCGTGACCGCCAGCGTGCTGCCACCGGTGCACACAGGTCTGAGCCACAAGGCTGTCCTCGCGAGGAGAGGGAGGAGGAGAGGAGAGGAGAGGAGAGGAGAGGAGAGGAGAGGAGAGGAGAGGAGAGGAGATGAGAGGAGAGGAGAGGAGAGGAGAGGAGAGGAGAGGGAGGAGAGGAGACGAGAGAGGAGACGAGGAGACCAGAGAGGAGAGGAGACGAGAGAGGAGAGGAGACGAGAGAGGAGAGGAGACGAGAGAGGAGACGAGAGAGGAGAGGAGAGGAGAGGAGAGGAGAGGAGAGGAGAGGAGAGGAGAGGAGAGGAGAGGAGAGGAGAGGAGAGGAGAGGAGAGGACGACGATATCGACGGCGTCGGCGGGCATGCAATAGGGAGAAGGATAAGGTGAAGGTCAAGCATGCAGTGGGACCTGCGGAAAGAAAATAACGCGCGAGAGAGAGAGAGAATGATGAGAGAATGATATATAATGCGAGAGAGTGATAGAGAAGGAAACATGTAGAGAGAGGTATATATATAACAAGAGAGAGAAACAAAAAGAGAGAGAGAGAGAGAGAAACAAAAAATGTGCGCACTTGTTCCGCTCCCGAACGCACCGACGCCAGCCTCCGAGCCTGGAGCGTAATTCCCACTCAACTCCCCTGGCCCTTTCCATGCGTGGTGCGCACTGGAGGTTGAATTCCCGAGTTGGGGTGCACTGGAATGCACGGTGACGGCATTGGATAAGAAACCATTGAATAAGAAATCCGGCGTCTGGAAGCCGGTGGAACTCCAATCATGAATTGGCCATGGATATCACCACCGCCCTTGTCAGATGAGGAATCCTCCAGGGTCTGAAGCCTCCTGGGCACATTCCTTAACCAACGCCCCCACAGTATGTCTTCGGCCACATGAATCCACATGGCCACCGTATCTTTGCAAGTGTGTTTGTGGGAGTGTGTAAGTGTGTGTAAGTGTGTGACGAAGTGTGTTTAAGTGTGTGCGTGTGTGCAAGAATTTGTATGTGCATGCGTGTTTGCGTGTTTGTGTTTGTGTTTGTGGTTGTGATTGTGATTGCGATTGTGATTGTGATTGTGAATGTGCTGTTTGTGTGTGGTTGTGCTTGCGTTTGTAAGTGTGTTAGTGCTAGAGCTTGTGTGTTGTCATTGTGCTTCTGGGTGTGCGTGTGTGTGTTTGTGTTTGTGCTTGTCAGTGCTTGGTTGTGTTTGTGATTGTGTTTGTGTTTGTGCTTGTGTTTGTGTTTGTGTTTGGGATTGTGATTGTGTTGTGTTTGTGCTTGTGTTTGTGTTTGTGTGTGCTTGTGCTTGTGTGTGTGCGTGTGCGTGTGTGTGTGCTGTTGTGTGGTGTGTGTGTGTGTGTGCGATGCGTGTGCGTGTGCGTGCGTGTGTGCGTGTTTGGTTTGCCCACAGCCACCCCCTGTCGAGCCGCAGCAAAATGCACTTCCAGGGCGGCACCGGCTGGGAGGAGCGTCTCTGATCTGTCGGACTGGCGGGCTGTCGCCGGGGCCCAAGTCGTTGGAGCAGGAGGAGGGCAGAAGAGGAAGAGAGAGGGGAAAGGAGGAGGAAAGAAGGAGGAGAAGGGAGCGAGCAGCAGGGAAGAGAAGGGGCATGTGAAGGGGCCAGGGACACACAAATAAATAAACACAAATAACCCGATTCCCCATATGTTCCTCTATTTTCTGGGTTTTCGTCTTCCCCCCCACTTCCCATATTTCCCAACCATCCTGTGGTGTTGGGTTGTCGCTTTCAAGAGACACCGCCCCGCGTCCC